ATCCACAATAAAATTGGGTCGTCAAAAATGTACCAGTTTTTGAAAATGAGTACCAAACGAAAAAAAAAAAAAAAAAAGTACCAATTTTGGTACTAAAGTACCATAAGTGGCAACCGTGAATACAGTCTCTCCTCCCTTTGAATTTTTTCCATTCCACTCTCATTGTTTTTCAGTTTCAGTTCTTCTGTTGCAGTTTTCAATCTATATCCTTTTTTTATGTGGTGATGACTGTTAATTGATCTGCTCTAAGCGTGCCCGTTTTTTTAAGAATCAGGTAACTGGTTTTCTATTTTTCTTTTTGTTTTCGTGCTTCAAAGTTATTGCTCTTTGAGATGGAGTCGTAAAAGGCAACTAAAGTTTATTGGGTAACAATTGACTTTTGATTCACGACATCCCACCAGAGATGAAATATGGGATTGCTGCAGGTGCCCACAATTTTGGTTGTCCGGAATTCTGAAATAACTTCGTAAGGAAATGTCGTGGTGGCTATGGTTAACATCTAAACTTATATAATGAGGAGCATTTATATTTTTGCTCAATGTGAAGTTCCATTTTTGAAGTGATGATGTGAACCAAAGTAGAGGTTTAAAAGGATAATGCTTCACAGCAAGAAGGAAGTTATATGCAAACTTATACCTTTAATTAGTGTCGACGGAATTTTCTAAATGGCTCGTTTATCGGCGCATTATGCTGATAAATGTGTTGATAACACTGAGGTCTTAACCACGTAAAACAACTAGGACTTATGTCTTATTGCTTCTAGCTATTTCTATCTCCCTCTCTCGCTCGCTCGTTCACTCTCTCCATCTCTGTCACGATCTCTCCCCATGTATCTTTCTCTTGTTTTACCCATCTATCCGTCTCATTTATCTATCTTTCTATTGCCCACACAATTTTTTTCTATCTCAGTTATTCTTCTTTATTTTTTCATCCTTTTGGTGATACTCTGTGGCGATGACCGCTAATAGAAGTACATTTTGGCGCCTGTTGTAAATTCATATTGAATAAATAGAGATATGTATACAATGAAAAAATATGTTTTGAAATTCTTTGACAGAGACAGAGACAGTATGTGATGAATATTGGCTTTCAAAATACTTTAACCTAAGATTTAAAGAAGCTGAGTGTTTTTATGTTTAATGTGATGCACCCTCAGTTTTATAAAGTACTATACATCCATCCATTGCACTACTAGTATTATAATCGCATAACACCATTCATTAGTTTAGTAGCTGAAACATCACTGAGCTTACGTTAACGTTAATAATTAAGGAGCAAAAGATTTGAATAGTTTCTTATGACAACTATATCGCTTCTATTATTTGTAGCACTTAAGTAAAATTTGCAGTTACTTCGTTTGTTACTGTTAATTAAATAAACAATTGTTCTTTGATTTAAAGTAATTAAGTAAAATAGTTGTACACTTATTATATTTACATACTTTATAAAATTAATTATATTATGTAAAAGTATGTAGGCTTGTTTAATTGAGTTAAGTCTACAATTCCCAACAATATGGATTGATAAAAATACATCTCACCTAAATACATAACCCTAAAAAATAAAACTGAACCTTGTTTGTATTATGTTTATAAAAAAAATTAAATAATATAATAAATTATTTATTTTCTAATTGGTGAATTTTTTTCTATTTTATTTTATTTTTTCGACTTTTTAAACAAAATTGATTGAAATGAAATTCAACAAATTCACCATTGACCACAAAATACCCCGCTACAAAAAAAGCGTTTCGAGCCTTTCCCAAGCTATAACAGCGGGTGCCAACCGTAAACGCGCCTTCAGCACACCACACATATCGACGACAATTACTTCCATACTGAATTTACCACATAACGATGAAAATAGACTAGTGGGCAGCTTGCAACTATCAGGCATGCTTAATTCGCAATCAGAAAATTTTAGCACTTGGCCCGTACAAGCGCCGGAACCACGATCCGATACAAATATATTTACGAAAATTGCACTTGGAGATGAACGTTATATGTTGCCAATAGATGATTTTCAACGAGAAGGTTCTGTTGGATTTGCGATTGGTAATGAGGAAAATGTGAAAGATAATGATGAAGATGACGAAGCCATTGATCAGTTTTCGCCTACAATTTATGCTACAGCTAACCAAAGTCGTGCCATTCCGATACCAATGAATGCGAATGCGGGTAATAGTCCACAGCAATATCCAACTTCTGGTAGCATTTGCTATGGTGCTAGTGTTAACATGGGCAATATGTCTATCTCCAACAGAACTCTTTCGCCAACAAATATAGCGTTTAGTGCAAGTCCTACTGGTACTGGCACACATCAGTATGCATCGGTGCCGCAATATTATAATGGTTCACCTGATGGCAAGTCTCCATCAGCTGCTAGTCTGCCAACAGCTACAAATGTTGCATGCAGCTATGATCCTGCTTATGGAACGTCGATAAATCGTTTAACACTGTCATCACAACATCATCATCAACAACAACAACAACAACAACAGCCACAACTGATATCGGCTCAACATTCACAGCACACCAGCCCTATGATGCAAAAGCAGCCGCTAGAGGGTGCAACAGCAGTCATTCCTACTGCTGCTTCGCCAACATCCTCCCAAAACAGGTCAGACTTAGTTTTGTTTGACTGCATCGTGCTTCGTGTGCTATAAAATTGATCACGTTTTGAATCGTTTCGTTTCGTTTCGTTCCGTTTCGTTTCGTTCGTAAATGAGTTACTGGATGTTGTTAAAATTTTGTTCGTTCCAATGAATGCGTTTCTATTAAAATTTTTTTTAAAACTTTGTTCAATTCATAAATTTATGTTTCGTGTTCATGTTTAATATCAATCATTAGCAGTCATAAATATTGTAGATTTTAAATGTCATAGTATTATTAAAAATAGTTTTGTTTCGTTTAGTTTTAGTTGTAGTGAGTTTTATATATGACTCATCTACCCGAAAATTCATGTTTCATTGTTAACCGTTCCTGAACACATATTTGTAGCATTTTTAAATTCCTATACCAAATAATTTGAACCATTGTCACAAAAAGGTTAATTAATTAATGGTATATCTAAGTATTTCAAATAATTATCAAGAGATACTTTCTGTTGATTATTTGATATATGAAGAACACATTCCGTACATTTGACATGTTATGTATTCATTCACATTAGCAATTGATTCTTTCATTATAAATAATGTTTAAGTAGTTTTGGCATGCTCGATGTTATGTTATTTTTTTGTAGTAAGAGTTTGAAAAAAATTTTCATTATTTTCTTTTTTAAAAATTGAAAAATTGAATAAAACTTTTTTCATATTATTTTTGTTGTTATTAATAAAATTAGTAATGTGGCTACCATAGCTATAATAATATTTAAATTAAATAACTTAAATTAAATATTAAATTATTCTGTATTCATTTATTCTTCAGCAGTATTGCTTTCTACACGCTACATGTTCCACGTTCTTCAGAGAAAGTGGACTGAGCCTAGATATATAATGATTTATAATGAAACACCAATATATTATAATCAAACATTAATGCTGATATTAAACAAAAATACTATCTGGCGTTAGTACACAAATATAATAAATAATATAATATATAATATAAAATATAATATAAAATGTAATATAATATATAATATAAAATGTAATATAATATATAATATAATATATAATATAATATATAATATAATAAATATATAATATAATATATAATATAATATAATATATAATATAATATAATATATAATATAATATAATATATAATATAATATAATATAATATAATATATAATATAATATATAATATAATATATTAATATATAATATAATATATAATATTATAATAATATATAATATAATATATAATATTATAATAATATATAATATAATATATAATATTATAATAATATATAATATAATATATAATATTATAATAATATATAATATAATATATAATATTATAATAATATATAATATAATATATAATATTATAATAATATATAATATAATATATAATATTATAATAATATATAATATAATATATAATATTATAATAATATATAATATAATATATAATATTATAATAATATATAATATAATATATAATATTATAATAATATATAATATAATATATAATATTTTAATAATATATAATATTATATTATTATAATAATATATAATATATATATAATATTATAAAATATATAATATTATTATAATATTTTAATAATAGATAACATTATATTATTATAATAATATTATAACATATATTATAATAATATAAAATATTATAATATTATTATAATATATAATATTATAATATATATAATATATAACTATAATATAAATAATATAATATAATATAAATAATATATATAAAATATAATAAAAAATATAGCAATATAATATAATAAAAAATATTGAAATATAATAAAATAAAAAATATAGAAATATAAAATAATAAGAAATATAGAAATATAATATAATAAAAAATATAGTATAATATAATAAAAATCTAGTGATATAATATGATAACATGTATAGTAATATAATATAATAAACACTATAGTACTATGACATAATATAATATAATAAATAATATAATATAATAAAAAAAAATATTAAAATATAATAAAATAAAAAATAAAGAAATATAAAATAATAAGAAATATAGAAATATAATATAATAAAAAATATAGTATAATATAATAAAAATCTAGTGATATAATATGATAACATGTATAGTAATATAATATAATAAACACTATAGTACTATGACATAATATAATATAATAAATAATATAATATAATAAAAAAAAATATTAAAATATAATAAAATAAAAAATAAAGAAATATAAAATAATAAGAAATATAGAAATATAATATAATAAAAAATATAGTATAATATAATAAAAATCTAGTGATATAATATGATTACATGTATAGTAATATAATATAATAAACACTATAGTACTATGATATA